AAATAATAATATTTTTTAAACTGTTTTGGCACACAGTTGCCATCTGCTCCAATAAAGGTCTACTTTTGGGAATGGACCTTTGAGTGACCAGACATTTGTTTTTTTGTATGTATGGCCTTTAAAGAGTTTGAAGCCTCCAGTCTGTGAGGCATCTTAAAGCTCCCTATTTCTTAAGTGTCAAATTGCCCTAAGAGTGGGACTGTCCTGCCAAAAATGGGAATGTTGAGAGGTATGCATTTCCATGCTTGTCCCAATTAGTTACTAGCAAGGTGAAATGAAATGCTGTGCTGGAGTGGGATTCTGTGTAATTAAATGCAGAGAATATTATTTGCCCTGTGAATTTTCTTGCATTATTGCTATTGCAGTTTATGTTCCTCCAGAGGCTAATCCTAAAATGGCAATGAAAGAACTGAGCATTTGGATTAACAAATTGGAAACTGTACATCCAGATTTTGTTTAACCACGCTAAACCGAGGTCTGCTCTGACCAAATTCTACATGAATGTTTCTTTTCTAATGTAAGGAATATTATTTGATAATATTTTGGAATCCAATACAAAAACAATAGTGGTACCCTAACCCCCAACACCTCGGTAAACTCTGAAAACCATAATATATCAGAAATAACCAAACAGAAAAATGGTGTGGTGTATTGATAATTAACACAGCTCTGCCTTGAGAAAGTCTACAAAGATGAAACCGGTCGGCATACAAGAGCAGCTAAAGTCTTTTTTCTCCAGTCTTGATTTCTGCACCAACCACTTCATAAGAATGAATTTGAACATATTGATTTTAGGATTGTGACACCACCACCAGCTACACAGTGCAGGACTTGCAGACCTATCTACATGCCTCTGTGACCACTCGCAGTGGTCCAGTATTTGTGAGTGCAATACTTTATTTTCTATTAGATTGGGGTCTATGGTTTTACACTATGTTGCGATTATTAGAAACGAATTTAAAGTGATTCAAGATTGGAAGAACTGAATACCCATAAATATGAAATTTACGTGGATTTTAAGACTCCATACCAAGAAAAATATTCTAATACAAAAAAAAGGGTAAGTATATGCATTTTATTTCTCAGGTTTTTCCTTGAGTGTTAATTACCAATACACCACAATACTGTTGGTTTATTTCTAATAATATTTTGGAACAGGGTAACATGAATATTGATGGAGCTTACAAAGCTATTCCCTTTTCTCGTGTTGCTAAATCAGACCTCATGTCACTTCTTTTGTTGTCTAAATACATTTCAATTGTAAATATTGAAGCCATCTGTAATTACAGTGACAGTGTGGTGAGAGTGATCAAATGCTTTATTACAGCATCAGTTTGTACACACTGATTTGTGCACAGGTTACTGCGAATTCTCACACTGATATTGATTTATGCACCAATACTGTTCTGGATCATATTAATAACTGTGTTGAGACAGTAAAGTCACAGATAATAAAAATATTTCCAAACCAAAAGCCTTGGATGGACAAATAAGTTAGATCTCTATTACGTGAGTGGGATGCTGCTTTTAGATGTGGAGATCAGGATTCTTATCGTTTAGCCAGAGCAAATCTGAGAAAAGGAATTAAAAAGCCAAATATGTTTTAAAAAAAATTGGAGATACATTTTGTGAACAATGATCCTTGCCGTATGTGGCACGGAGTTCAAATTCTGACAGATTTTACACCACCTGGCTCTCATCTTGATGAGCTTCCCCTCCCTGAGATTAAAGGACCACTATAGTGCCAGGAAAACATACTCGTTTTCCTGGCACTATAGTGCCCTGAGGGTGCCCCCACCCTCAGGGACCCCCTCCCGCCCGGCTCTGGAAGGGGGAAAGGGGTAAAAACTTACCTTTTTCCAGCGCTGGGCGGAGAGCTCTCCTCCTTCTCTCCTCCTCCGTTCCTCCTCCTGGGCTGAATGCGCACGCGCGGCAAGAGCTGCGCGCGCATACAGCCGGTCGCACAAGAAAGCATTTACAATGCTTTCCTATGGACGCTGGCGTGCTCTCACTGTGAAAATCACAGTGAGAAGCACGCAAGCGCCTCTAGTGCCTGTCAATGAGACAGCCACTAGAGGCTTTGGGGGAAGGCTTAACCCATTAATAAACATAGCAGTTTCTCTGAAACTGCTATGTTTATAAAAAAATGGTTTAACCCTAGAAGGACCTGGCACCCAGACCACTTCATTAAGCTGAAGTGGTCTGGGTGCCTAGAGTGGTCCTTTAAATAACTTCTATGCTCATTTTGATAAAGGCAATCATACAGTGCCTGGTAACGGCAGTGTCTCATTGGATGAGGTCTTGCTTTGCTTTCTTGTTAGCATTCGATAAGCGTAGTGGTATTTCACCAGTGGTGCCCCGTGGCTCGCGAAGGAGCGGGGGCCTCCCACTTATCCTACACCTCTCATGTCTCTTCACTGTTGCAGACTAGAGTCAAGCTCAACAGGGTCTTCTTTCCAGTGTGAAAAGAAGCAGTGTGTATGACACCATAAGCAGGGTGATTATACGAAAGGATGCAGGTCCTGATGGTGTCCCTGGTCGAGTGTGTGTGTGTGTGTGCTGAAAAGTTGGCTGGTAAATTTACAAAAAAATTTTAACTTATCCTATTGTATCAGTGCAAAAGCATGCTGCTACAAAGGACGATAATGATTTTAGACCAGTTACCCTTACTTCTATTGTAGCTAAGTGATTGGTGAAGTTGGTGCTTGCTCATTTAAATCTAGTTTTCTCCTACTCTGGACACCCATCAGTTTGCTTATCGTCCTAATGGGTCAGCAGAAGACTATTACCTCTACCCTTCACTATGTCCTGGCTCCTTTGCATAACAAAAACGCTTATTTTGTAATTTTAGTTCTGCTTTTAACACGGTTACTGCAATTGAGTTAATAAGTAAGCTCACACAGTTGACTATTAGTACTTCTCGTTGTATCCGGATATTGGACTGTCCTATAGATAGGCAGCAGACTGAAGTTAGGCGATATGATTTCTTCTACTTTGACATTGAGTAGTTGTGTTCCACAGGGATGTGTGCTCAGTCCTCTCCACTATTCTCTGCATACCCATGATGGTGCTCCTGTACATGATTCCAACATAATTATCAAGTTTGCAGATGATACTACCGTGATTGGCCTTATTAGCAATGAAAATGAAAGGGCATACAGTAATGAGATTCAGTACCCATTAGCGGATGGGTGCACGAATAACAATGTGGCTCTCAACATCCCCCCAAAAAACTAAAGAGTTGATTGTAGATTTCCGATGCACTATGTGGAGATACACACACACCCCTATTCATATAAATGGAGAGGAGGTTGAATGCGTCACTAATGTCAAGTTTCTGGGAGTACATGTGTCAGATGATTTGTCTGGGAGCACTAGCTCCACTGCTGTAGTCATGAAAGCTCAAACCCATCTTCTATGCCTTACAACTTGATGTGATCAGGGATAAATCCATGATCATACCAGGGAGAACAAGGTAGCAGTCAATACCTGGGGCTCCCTTGTGTTAACTGAGGCCACATATATTGACCAATGAGCTCAATGTTCAAAATGAGTAAAATCCATTCAGAACTCCGTGGTTGAGTGGATTTTGCTCAGCAGCGGGGATTGTCAGCTGCCAGCCCAGGGTCGTTTGAAGGAATTTGGGGGCCCAAAGCAAAATGGACATGGAGGCCCCACCAATCCCCCCTTCCCCACAAAGCCTACAGGAACCACAGCATAGCCATACAATTTAAGTTCACCCACACTTTATATAAATAAAAATGGTTTACAGTGCAAATACTGCTGTTGCATATACTGTGCATAAAATTTGAACAATTGAACATTTGCAAAAAATACCACTGTACCATAAAATCAAATAAACATTAAAGTGCACAATAAATCCAACATACTTAAAACACACACACACTCACATTAACATTTTTCAGTTCTCACAAACATGTACAAATTATCTAAAACTGCTCCCCTGTGTCCTTCTTACTCCCCTCCCCCCCTCTGTGTCCTTCTTACTCCTCCCTCCCCCTCTGTGTCCTTCTTACTCCCCTCCCTCCCTCTGTGTCCTTCTTACTCCCCTCCCACCCTCTGTGTCCTTCTTACTCCCCTCCCCCCCTCTGTGTCCAGCCAAGTGAGGTCCCCACTGTCTTCCTGTGTTCACCCCTGCAGATTGTGTAATCAACTGGGAGAGCATGTTGGAGGTTCATGCAGGAGACCTGCTTGTCATGCTGAAAACAACCAGTAGATGGCAGCCACAGACCACCCTAAACTGTTTTATGTGAGGCTATAAGTACTGATATTAGCAGAGGGTATTATTTAATGTAGGGTTAGATGTATAAATAAGGGTAGGGTTAGTATTAGGATAGTGTAGGATTAAGGTTAGGGTACATATGTGGTTAGAGCTGGTGTAAGCATAGTGTTAGGTGTAGGGTTGGTATAGTTTTGAGGGATTGGTACAGGATTAGTGTTAACTTCCAAAAATGAGAAGCAATCTTCATATCGAATTTCAAAATCTGGAGTGATAAGTTATTTACAAAGAACAATACTATCAAGCACAAATAAGACAATCCCGATAAACAGATTTGGATTTGAGAGCAGGTCCATCATAATCTGATAAAAATCTACATCCAAAAATTAAGATAAAATGACTAGATTTGGGATAATTTTAATTGAATTATGGGGGATATTGGCCACCCATAAGGACTAAAGCATGTAATAATCAGGACTGACATAAACATCTCTTTTGTGTTATTTTTCTTTAGTTGCACTGTATGTGTAAACATTTATATAAACAAAAATGTGAAAAAAATGCACTTGTGTCCATTGTTTCCCATTTTTAACATTTTATTCACACTTAATGTTGTGTTGGGTATACATATACTATAGTAAAAGAAAACCTGTTCTATTCTTTAAAAACACATGTATGTCGGGGTGTACTTAAAGGGAAAATCTTAAATTACGTGGTACAAACCTACACCTCAAATTCAAGGTCTAGCTCAGAACTTGGACAATGACTTCCGTACTTAGGGCTCATAATTCTGATTAAGCCTTGCTGCGTCTTTAAAAGAAAGTCTATACGATCATGGAGTTCCTTCTATACTGTAGGTAGAATGTTAAAACAGATCACATTCTGAAGAAAAATATTTGGACCAGTTTTAGATAATACAACAGTAAAACCACAAATATAACACAGCTGTGTTTAATGTGGTTATTTTGGTAGTGGGGCAAATGTATATATGATTTAGAGTATATACATGTGTATTTGGGCTTATTACGTATGGTTGAGCTTAGGAGGGGGAACCAATAATATTTCCATGTTACTCTATGAGGTCCACAAAATCTTCCCAAGCCACTGGCGAAAAGCACTTATTATAAGAGTTACATTCAGGTCCATAAATATTGGGACATCGACACAATTCTAATCTTTTTGGCTCTATACACCACCACAATGGATTTGAAAAGAAATGAACAAGATGTGCTTTAACTGCAGAATTTCAGCTTTAGTTTGAGGGTATTTACATCCAAATCAGGTGAACGGTGTAGGAATTACAACAGTTTGTATATGTGCCTTCTACTTTTCAAGGGACCAAACATAATGGGACAATTGGCTGCTCAGCTGTTCCATGGCCAGGTGTGTGTTATTCCCTCATTATCCCATTTACAAGGAGCAGATAAAAGGTCCAAAGTTCATTTCAAGTGTGCTATTTGCATTTGGAATCTGTTGCTGTCAACTCTCAATATGAGATCCAAAGAGATGTCACTATCAGTGAAGCAAGCCATCATTAGGCTAAAAGAAAAAAAACAAACCCATCAGAGAGATAGCAAAAACATTAGGTGTGGCCAAATCAACTGTTTGGAACATCCTTAAAAAGAAAGAACGCACCGGTGAGCTCAGCAACACCAAAAGACCTGGAAGACCACGGAAAACAACTGTGGTGGATGACCGAAGAATTCTTTCCCTGGTGAAGAAAACACCCTTCACAACAGTTGGCCAGATCAAGAACACTCTCCAGGAGGTAGGTGTATGTGTGTCAAAGTCAACAATCAAGAGAAGACTTCACCAGAGTGAATACAGAGGGTTCACCACAAGATGTAAACCATTGGTGAGCCTCAAAAACAGGAAGGCCAGATTAAAGTTTGCCAAACAACATCTAAAAAAGCCTTCACAGTTCTGGAACAACATCCTATGGATAGATGAGACCAAGATCAACTTGTACTAGAGTGATGGGAAGAGAAGAGTATGGAGAAGGAAAGGAACTGGTCATGATCCAAAGCATATTGCCTCATCAGTGAAGCATGGTGGTGGTAGTGTCATGGTGTGGGCATGTATAGCTGCCAATGGAACTGGTTCTCTTGTATTTATTGATGATGTGACTGCTGACAAAAGCAGCAGGATGAATTCTGAAGTGTTTCGAGCAATATTATCTGCTCATATTCAGCCAAATGCTTCAGAACTCATTGCACAGTGCTTCACAGTGCAGATGGACAATGACCTGAAGCCAGGGCCGGCGCTACCTGTAAGGCGGACTAGGCAGCAGAGAACCTCAGGCGGCTGCAGCTTTGCCCGGGCGGTGCGTCCATGAGGGCGGACCGCCCGGGCGCAGCCTGAGGAGAGGGGCTGACAGGAGGGAGCACTCAGCGCTCCCTCCTGTCACTCCCTCTCTGTAGCGTGGCCGAGCCATGCAGCATGATGGTCCGCGTGCCGGACTAACAGGAAGTGCACACTGAGTGTGCACTTCCTGTTAGTCCGGCCGGGTACAGGAAACAAAAGCTACCTGTACCCGTCGGACCATCATGCTGCAGGGCTCGGCCACGCTACAACAAAGGTGGGGGGGAGGAGAAAGAAATTGGGAGGGGGAGAAGAAATAGGGAGGCATGGGGGAAGAAAGTGAGGGGGGGAGAAGAAATTGTGAGGGGAGGTGGGGGGAGAAGAAATTGGGAGGGGAGGGGGAGAAGAAATGGGGGAGGGAGAAGAAATTGGGAGGGGAGGGAAGAAATTGGTAGGGGAGGGGAGAAGAAATGGGGAGGGTGGGAGAAAAATAAATTGGTAGGGGAGGGGGGAGAAGAATAAATTGACAGGGGAGAGAAGAAGAAATTGGTGGGGGGGGAGAAGAAATTGACGGGGGTGAGAGTGACAAGGGAGGGAGGGGCAATGTGAGTGGGAAGGTGGAGGGGAGAAGAGAGTGACAAGGGAGAGGGGGGAGAAGAGAGTGACAAGGGAGGGGGGAGAGAGTGACATCCATCACACACACATGCAATGCACCCCTTGCACACAGAAAAACACACAATGCATTACACACACAGACACACACACACACACACACAAACAATGCAACCCTTACACACAATGCATCCCTTACACACACAGAAACACACAATGCATTCCTTGAGCTGTGTAAAGGGCCCCCCAAAAATGGAGCTGCTTCCCGTTCTCCCAGAATATTGATTTTTTTGACCACAGTTACAAACCGCCTCCAGAGAGCCTGTTCTGCACCAGACCAGTGGAGCCAGACTGCAGCTAGAGCCCATCATCATCCTCATCTGGTTGTAAGTAGGCAATCTAGTATATTATTCGTGGCACTAATCTCTAATTTACCTCACATTAAAGAAACACTATAGTCCCCAGAACCATTGCAGCTTAATGTAGTTGTTCTGGTGTCTATAGCCTGTCCCTGCAGGCCTTTTAATGTAAACACGGCGGCACTGCAGCACTGGCGTTAGTTAACATGGCAGATCATATGGGTGGAGCATTGTGATTTCACATGGGGGGTGTGGGGGCGGCAAACTTTACTTTTGCCTAGGGCGGCAAAAATCCTTGCACCGGCCCTGCCTGAAGCATACTGCAAAAGCAACCAAAGAGTTTTTTAAGGGAAAGAAGTGGAATGTTATGCAATGGCCAAGTCAATCACCTGACCTGAATCCGATTGAGCATGCATTTCACTTGATGAAGACAAAACTGAAGGAAAAATGCCCCAAGAACAAGCAGGAACTGAAGACAGTTGCAGTAGAGGCCTGGCAGAGCATCACCAGGGATGAAACCCAGCGTCTGGTGATGTCTATGTGTTCCAGACTTCAGGCTGTAATTGACTGCAAAGGATTTGCAACCATGTATTAAAAAGTGAAAGTTTGATTTATGACTGTTAATCTGTCCCATTACTTTTGGTCCCTTAAAAAGTGGGAGGCACATATACAAACTGTTGTAATTCCTACACCGGTCACCTGATTTGGATGTAAATACCCTCAAATAATTAAAGCTGAAAGTCTGCAGTTAAAGCACATCTTGTTTGTTTCATTTCAAACCCATTGTGTTGGTGTATAGAGCCAAAAAGATTAGAATTGTGTTGATGTCCCAATATTTATGGACCTGACTGTATATACAGTATGTACTGTTCAAATACCCCATCAAAAATAAAAAGAGGCAACATTAAAAAAATTAATTTGTGTGGTTTATTATATATGAGCTTGCATTAATCCATACAGCATAAATATGTTTGGTCACAATTTCCAGTTAATATAAGTAATTTTTACATAGTCAATATTTCTGTACTTAAAGGACTACCAACAGATCAGCAATGCACTAGAACGGAGGCTCCTAATGCATGTGTGAAGCCTGCAGCACCTTCCAAAAACTTAGTGAGACTAGCTGCAGACATACAGATATTACAAAAAAAAAAAAAAGAACAAAAAATAAAAAATAAACAAGGCACCTAAACATTAAAGAACAAATGACATTTAATATCTAATACAGGATTAAAATACTAATATATTTAAGTGTCCTGGTTTAAAAATTAATAAATACAAAAAAAAAAAACATAAACAAAAAAACAAATATAAAAATATACACCACATGAGAGCACTACAAGGAGCGCTGACAGAGTTAAAACTCATCCTCGTACGTATGCAGATATGTCTTTAATGAAAGGATTTCTGTGTAGCTGCGGTTGGTTTTCCGATAGAAATCCAAGCCAGTAAGCTGTTCAATGTCACGGACACGTGCTGTGTGCATCTTTAAAAGATTTTCCACCCAGTTGGATTCGTCTTCCGAGTTCTACAATATGGGATGGAGAAAAAGCAAACATGTTTTCTGTTAGAAAAACGTTAAAGAAGAAAAAAATACATATTGCGCAGTTCAGCACCATATGCTAAGAGAAACACAGACATGTTCTATTAACGATGGAACAATTATGAAGCCCCACATTGTTATATCACAAATCTTAAAAAATGTACTTTTATGGTTTATAAAATAAACTTTGTTTTCTACACAACTAAAGACTTTTTTTGCATGAGGTCCAGTTGACACTTTTCATTGAAGTTAATTTTTAGGTGGAAAGGAAAAAATAATTAGAGAAAATAATATAAAGAATTAAGGAACTAAACTCTAAATCAGTAGTGAGCTGAAGTCCAGTACCTAGTATAGCTATTCAGATATAGTTATCCTGATTTAGACATATGCATACTTAAATGTTATTGTGTTTACTTTGATATTTCTACCACGAATAAAAAACAAACAAAAAAAACTGGAATATGAACCAAGATAAGTTCCTTCATGTTCACTTGACCCATGTGGAGGAGGTAATGAATTGAAGTGCGATAGGAGGAAGACAAATTAATGGGATCTAGAGACTTTCTTTTAAAAAAGGGAGAGTAGTGTACAATTTGTCCTTCTTCAACTACAAAAGAAAAGTTTAGTACCCAAACTACTGTGAAAGGATATAACCACACCAGTACAATAGCTAATACAGACACAAGTTGCAAACAGTCCTCTTAATCACCCAACAGAGTGGCTCTGTCACAGTATCGGAGGGTTGGGGTAAAGTGCAGTGTGAATGCATTTCTAAATATGCTTGCAATGGATTTATTGTGATAAATTACAGGGTGTTTCAGCCCTTATATGCACACTACTGGACAGCCCTGATTGGCCACCCTGCCAGGCAGCTCAACACCAGATGCACATAATTGTATCAGATGAAAAAAAAAAAAAACGTTTACAGACAGGAATGATGCCTCCACTCCTCCCGATCACAGACCTGTCAAACTTGGCAGGTCTGTAATACATTGAACCACAAAGAAGCAAACTTCTTACCGAATTTCAAAATCTGGAGTGATAGTATTGTTCTTTGTAAATAACCTATCAAGCACAATTAAGACAATCCCGATAAAGGGATTTGGATTTGAGAGAAGGTCCATCATAAAATAAAGATAGATACAAATCTAAATGCAAAAATTAAGATAACATGACTAGATTTGGGATAATTTTAATTGAGTTATGGGGTATATTAGACACCAATAAGGACTGGTAGAGACTAACCCCTTAAGGACTGAGCCAATTGTACAAGTTGTGATCGAAACAAAACGTAAACAAAACCTGGCATTTGCGCTACATGTCTGTCCAACCATAATTCACCTCTTTCATATTAAGTACACCCACACTTATTATATATCATTTTATTCAGGGGAAACAAGGCTTTCATTTAACATCAAATTTTTGATTATTTCGGTATTAAACATAATTTAATATGAAAAAAATGGGAGAAAATAAGATTTTTTTTTTTATTTTTTTTTTCCTGTGACATTTTAACTGTGAATGTCATAATACGATTTGCTTTTACTGCAATAAAATACACATATTTGTATTCTGTGATATCTCACATGTAAAACAGCACCCCCTACTTACAGGTTTTATGGTGTTTTGGGAAGTTACAGGGTCAAATATAGCATGTTACATTTTTCCCATTGAAATTCGCCAGATTGGTTGCCTTTAAGACAGTATGGTAGCCCAGGAATGAGAATTACCCCCATGATGGCTTACCATTTGCAATAGTAGACAACCCAAGGTATTGCAAATGGGGGATATCCAGACATTCCAGGCAGTCCCCCTGCTGGCAATGCTGTGGACAGCTATGCCGTCCATGTGATCGTGAGGTCCTCGCAAGGACCTCGCGATCACATGGCCCAGGAGGGCTGGATCAGAAGCAGGGGGGTTCCCTGGAAAGCCAGGTGAGTCCCCCCACTGCGATCGCGGGCATGGGATTGCCGGCGACCGGGTAAGTAAATAGGACGGCGGGGACATTCTATGTCGCCTGCCGGTGTTTAGGACCGAGTCCCCAAGGACTGCATAGAAAGCCATCCATCCTTAAGGGGTTAAAGGGACACATTCCCTGCAGCCTTTTTCATGTAAACACTGTATTTTCTGGGAAAATACAGGGTTTACCCTGGAAGCTAGGAACACCTCCAGTGACGGCCACCAGATGGACATTTCGAGTAAACTGCTGCCTAATTCTCATTCATCACGTTTGGCTGAAGACATCAAATGTGCTATCAGGACATAGGAGACACTGTGAACGCGCCTTCTGTGTCCTGTAGTAACCCGGAGCATGTCAACAATCAGAGCTGACAGTGTGGGAGATAAGGATCTGACAGGCTGAAGGCAGAAGGCAGGAGGATCTACTGACTTCAAACAGTAAGTAAACTTATTTTAAAAATTGAGAGTAAGTGTGAGAGAGAGTGTGAGAGAGTGTGTGAGTGTAGATAGATATAGATAGAAATAGAGAGATAGAAATAGAGAGATAGATAGATAGATAGATAGATAGATAGATGGATAGAGTATGTGTGTGTGTGTGTGCATGTTTAACAATATTTATTTACAATGTGTGTGTTTGTATACAAAAATTATATATAGAGATATCTATATATATAGTGATTGCATACAAACTTTTGGCTTAGGAGGGTTGCAGTAGGAGGGGGCGGGTATAGACAGTGAGCTGAGCTGTCAGTCGGCTCACGAACGCACATTCCACGCGGTACTGCGCTAAGTTTTCATTTATATGGCGGCATACAATGTCGCTCTATGAAGAACCCCATTGGTGCAGCGCGAAGTCGCGCATGCTCACTAGATCACTATGATTGAGCCCTGCTATTTCGTTATCCTGCCGAGGACCTTGCCGCTGGAACGAAGCTAACTTTATATGATAAAAAGCACTCTGATTTTTATTTTTTTTAATGACAAATTGATATAAAAGCAAGAAAGAAGGCTAGGGGACCGGTCTTTCTTGCTTTTATATGCTGACTATAGTGGTCCTTTAAGCTCTGATGATTAAGAAGGTTGAGTCTGGTCACAGAATTTAAAAAACCATCAAATGGGAGAAAACACTGGCATATGAAAAGTCCAGATTCAACAAACTCAATTGACCATGATAGGAAATAATTGGGTGTTTGATGTGCATCATAAAAGAAACATTATATAAGCGAGCGCTGGATCAGAGCTTCAACCAAAATAAGTGCTGAAGACGTAGGTAAGATG